ACTGACTTTTAGGGCCATATTTATGCCACCAGAGACCCTTTTATGAGTTCTAATATTTCTCAGTACAACAAAGGGAAAAAAATGACTAAGTGATCTTGGGCAGGTGGCTCTCCCTTGCAATTTCCTTACATATGAACCATATTATTTTAAGAAGTTTTCCTAAGTGTCCTCCTCTCTTAAAAAATTTATACACCTCTTAAAATGTCTTCCTAGGTCAACAAGTGAAAGAATCCGTGGTTAAACATATCACTACCACTGCCAATATATGAAATGGTATTTTCTCCCATATGTTTTATTGACATTGCTTCCATGTTAGTTTACATCTATTACTGTTGATGCTACTTTACCTTTTTTTTTTCTAATGTTGGTGGTTTGTTTTTTCTCTCAGAATACTTTGAGGAATAATTACTTTTTATTTAAATTGAGATGCCTTGATTCTTATTCTATCTCTATATAGATTCTTGGATCACTTAAACAGAGACCTTTGGGAAATGACTGGATTTGTGCTTGGAAGACTTTATATTAGCCTCACCCCTTCAGCCAAGATCAGCTCCTGATTCATTAAACCCTTTATCTGCTTACCAGAGATCTGATGAGACCCTAGGATGTCTGTGCGTTGGGGAAGGCAGATGGAGGAAAGATATTTTAGGAGCGGGAAGGAGAAGGATTGTGAAGTCTACAATTTCAATGAGCAGCAAATAAGTGCCAGGCTTTGTTCCTGGGGATTTTTAACTTTTATGATCCCATTAGATTCTGACAAAGCCACCCTGTGAGGGAGGTGATGATGGCACCAAATTAAGGAGGTTGCAACTGGGACTTAGCAAGATATCATGACTTAAAAGGAGGCAGGAACTGTGACTCCAATGACTATGACCTTCTATTTTAGCACTCTGCATCCCAGCAGATGGGGAACCCCAATTTAGGACCAAGATCACCACCCACACTCTTACTTAGCATACTTCTCTCCTCTGCCAGCATCAGCCACAACCTGTTTTTAAAAATAATGAAAATGACTCTTTAAAAGAAATAGCTTTGCCTAAGGTCCTGCATCTAAGAAGGAACAAAGCAAAATCTAATTGCTAAACATCTGAAAAATGTCCATCTCCAGAGCATGTCTAAGACCCTCCAGGGAGGATGCTAGGGTTACTCTATCCTGGGACCAGGTGAACATGACAATTACGTTTCTGGGTTACATTCCAGTGAAATGTCTTCTCCTTGGGCTTCCATATTGCATGCCTGGGTGGAGAATAAGAGTTTTGTGTTCAATCTTAGGAAAGAGAAACCCAGGCATTAATGGTGCCACTCATTCCTTATATTGTCCTTTGCTATCTGAACAGAGCTCCTACTCTCTACTTTCCATGTTTTTTGTATATTTTTTGTCTATTACTGCCCTTTTTCTCTCTGCTTTATTCCCTCTGCATATGTCTTCCTTTATCTTTCTCTCAGCATCACGTTATCTCTCACTCTTTGTCTAGCTGATTTTGAATTTTTGCCTCTGCTGGTAATATGCTTCTGTGATGGTTTAAAAAAATTTTTTTTCTTACTGAGGAAGATCAGCCCTGAGCTAACAACTGTTACCAATCCTCCTCTTTTTGCTGAGGAATATTGGCCCTGGGATAACATCTGTGCCCATCTTCCTCTACTTTATACGTGTGACGCCTGTCAGAGCATGACTTGATAAGCGGTGGGTAGGTCTGTCCCTGGGATCTGAACCTGCAAACCCTGGGCTGCTGAAGTGGTGTGTGTGAACTTAACCACTATGTCACCAGGATGGCCCCTGTGATGGTTATTTTTATGTGTCAACTTGACTTGGACCTTGAGGTGCCCAGATATTTGGTTAAACATTATTCCGGGTGTGTCTGTGAGGGTGTTTACAGGTGAGATCAACATTTGAATCAGTAGACTGAGCAAAGCAGATTGCTCTCCCCAATGTGGGTAAGCCTCATCTAGTCTGTTTGGCATGAATGGAAGGAAAAGACCTGATCCTTTCATGAGTAAGAGGGAACTCCTTTTGCCTGACTGCTTTGAGCTGGGACATCAGTCTTCTCTGGTCCTCAGACTTGAACTGAAACATCAACTCTCCTTGGGTTTGAGCCTGCCAGCTTTCAGACTGGAACTTATACCATTGACGCTCCTGGTTCTCAGGTCTTTGGACTCAGACTGGAGCTACACATCAAGTTCTCCTGGGTCTCCAGCTTGCTGACTGCAGATCTTGGGACTTCTCAGCTATTATAATTGTGTGAGCCAGTTCCTTATAATCTCTCTCTCTGTATGTATTCGTCTATATATACATTTATATGCATTCTACTGGTTCTGTTTCTCTGGTGAACCTTGATGAATATAGCCTTCCAATTCCCACCTCTACTGCTCAGGAATCCCCTTAGGACAGGGCTTATAAGATCCATTCTATGATCCAAGGATTAAAAGCCACTGAGGTCCAGGAATCACAATGATCCAAGAATCTATATAGAGACAGATGATAAAGAATCAAAGTGTCTATTGGTTCCTGCATTTTCGGGGGTCTCAGAGCTAATGGAAAATTTGCCTTGAGGCTGCCTAACTAGTTATCAACAGGTTACTAGTAGGTTCCATTCTCCTTGTATGGTGTAACTATATTGAAACCAAGCTGTGAGTGACAGTGCAGATCCCCCGCCCTCATTGGGGTACCATGGTGCCTTTACTCACCAATGTCAAAGCTTGGTTCTGTGGGTAGAAGCCAACTACTTGAAGAGTTTCCTAGAAAACAAGACAGGAAAGAGGTGAGGAAATGAAGCTGCCCATCTTCTACCCCACTGAAGCTCCTTTGTCAACTAATGGTGAGCTCTAGGGTATCTTGGGATCACCTTCCCATATCTCTGGGGACTTGACTCCCTCCCTTCAAGTTGCAGAGAGGGAACAGGAGAAGTTGATGATGAAAGATGCCTAAACTCAAGAGGAGGTCTCTTACCTTGCATTAAAGGCATCTGTGCCACCTGGGAAATCACTCTGTGGGTGGAAGGTCAGGAGAGGCTTCTGGGAAACAGACAGTAGGAAGGGACTGATGCAACCTCTGATCTCCCCAAACTGAGCCTGGTTGCTCTTCTTCCTGGCTCTGCCCTGACACCTTTCTCCATCTACCTGGATACATAGTCACCCCCAGTGTGGACCTCAATGCAAGATGTGAAGGAGGATCTTGGAGGTGCATTCTCACTCTCTATTTCCCCTTCCTTTTATTTATCTGTGCTTCTTTATCCCCAGAATTCATAAGCATCTCCTCATTATCAGCAGGACACTCCTCATATATGACCTCAAAATTTAGTCTGAGTCACAAGACGTGGGGCAAGTCTGGAGCTTCCTCACCTGTGACAGAAAGGTGCAGTGGGTCACTTGGGTCTGACCACTCACAGGGAGAGATATTGAAAGAGCTGTAGCATCTATAGGTCCCGTTGTGGGCTGGGGTCACAAGGCCCAGAGGGAAGATGGCCTGGAATGTGCCATTATGGCTCTGTCCTCCAGCAAGCCAGCGTTCACGGGCCTCCCCCTCCCTACATAGATGGTACACATCAAATGAGCTCTCAGAGCTGCAGAACAGGGTCACATTCTCCCCTAACCTCACCACGGGGCTCAGCCCGGCTAAGAGAGAAGGTTTCTTGTATAGTCCTGGAAGAAAAAGAGACAGTTTAGTTAGAGAGGCTCTTCCTTACTCACAGTGTCCACACCTGAAGGACCTGAACTGAGAATTCACTATCCCTGTTATCGTGACTTCTCTCTCTCTCCCCCTCATGTCTCTCTCTATCCTTCTACTTTCTCTGTCTCTTGCTCTCTCTCTATCTCTCTGACCTTGCCTCCCTCCTATTTTTTTCCTTTTTGTATTTTTTACTCTCTCTGCCTCTCCTTGGGTTGGTTGGTTTGATATGTATCTTTTTGTTTCATTCTGAGTCTCTCAGTTTCCATCTTGACCCTATCTTTGTGCATCTCTCTCCTGCTCTCTCTATCTCCCCATCTCCATGATTTTCTCTGCTTCTCTGTCTCTCTGTTCTCTTTTGGAATTTATCATCCGCCTCCACATCACCATTTTTCTCCATGTTTGTGCCCCCCACTCAGGTCTCTGCTTTTTAGGGCTTTTATCTTCCCGCTTTCATCTTTCTCTCTACTTCTCTATCCTTTTTTCTTTTTCTCCACCTCTTTTTTTCTTTTTATGTGTCTCTGAGCCAGTGCCTGTGTCTCTCTCTCTTCCATCCTCCTGGCCCATTCTGTGTGTGTGTGTGTGTGTGTGCACATGCACATTTGTTTCTATGTCTCCGCTCTCCATTGATTCTGTTTTCTCTCTGACTGCATCTCTCTGTGGGATTTTGACATCAGCAATCCTACAACATCTGGGAAGACCTTGGAACATGTGCCTGAGAAACAACTTTGGGAGCCCATAAAACACAGAACATGTAGGGGTTGGTGTTTGGCTCCTTCACCCAGGACCATGGTATCTTGGGGCACAATATGGCTCCACCACATGGAATAAATCATGTCAGAGTAAACACAGCATCTATGAGTGCCACATGGGAAGAGGACACAGGACTCATGGGGAATCAGCCTGAGACAGGTCAGCCTGATCCTGTAATGTGGGTCAGATATGTGGTGTGCTTTTGGGTTCTCCTACTAGAGAAGAGACTGTGGAGTTAAAATGGAAACCAAGCTTCTAAACCATCCCAGGTCTCTGAACAGACTCAGAGCAGAAGGTCACCCTCCCTCTGATACATGAATATCTGTCCATATATCTCCCTTCACTCTTTATCTCCATTTCTAACTCTCTTGTCTTTGCCCTTATATCTTTCCTTTATGCTGTAACAAATGGTCTATATTGTTTCTCCTCTTACATCGTCTCTCTTGGTATAGTTGTCACCAAGTATGCCTCTTTTCGTAAGAACCCTATGTTCATCTCCTTCATCACTTCTTGGAGCTTCCAAGTCCTAGAACATCCCATCTACATCCCAAAGAGGACAGCGGGCAGGTCTGGACACTCTCACCTGTGATCATGATGTGCAGGGGGTCACTGGGGGTCGACCACTCATGGGAGGAGTAATTGATAGAACCGAAGCATCTGTAGGTCCCTGCATGGTCAGTTGTCATGGGACCCACGGGGAAGTTGGCATGGAAGCCCCCATCATGGGGCTGTCCAATAAGGTGCAAGGGGTTCTCCATTACCCCCTCTCTGTGCAGAATGAAGCTGTCAAACACGATCTCTGAGCAACACTGCAGGGTCACATATTGTCCCAATTGCACCAGGGGACCTGGCTGGGCCAAGATGGAAGGTTTTTTGTAGACTCCTAAGAACATAGATGTTGTGAGTTTAGAAGGAGCCACCCTTCCTCACCCCATTCCACGGGACTTGAAATGAGTGAGGATTTCTTCTCACGTCTGCCTTTCTCCTTCCTCTCTGTGTCCTTTTCTATCTGAATGTCCCCTTCTGTCTCTCTCTCTCCTTTTCTCTGTCTCTCTGTCTCTAGCATCACCAGATTCCATTCCCACTGTGCTATCTTTGGCACTTTGGCTGTTGTATCCATTTCCCACAGACCCCTTTCCTGTTTTCTGTGGTGGGGGTGGGAGAGTGACTACTGCAGGATGCATGTCCAGGCTCTCTTATCAGCCAAGCCATGCTGTTTTTGATTAATTGTAAATTCCTGGTAGAAGGTAAGAGTTAAGCAGTAAGGTAGGTACCACTGTACCTCCCAATGTCCAGCCAAGCTGTGCCTTGAGGGGAGGGGCACATCTCCTGCCATGTCTGTGCCTTCTTCATGGTCCCAGCTTCCATAGAGTGGCCTCTGAGGCTGGCTGTATGAACACTGACCTCTCCCTGTGTCACTGCAATCTAGTGGTGGCATCAGCATCCTATCCTTACCTATCGCTTAGGTAGCCTCCCTTCCCCTGTTGGGCTCCCTAATTTATCCTTCACCTGGGTATCTGTATTGGTTACTTATAGTTCTGGATGTCAGAAACCCAACACAGGTCTCACTGGGCTAAAATCAAGGTGTCTATAGGGCTGTGTTCCCTATGGAAGATTAAGGGGTGAATTTATTCCTGTGCATTTTATGGCTTACAGAGGCAACCTGAATGCCTCGTTGCCTTCCTCCAACCTCAAAGCCAGCAATGTCTGGTGGAGTCATCTCATGCTGCATGACTCTGATGCTCACTCTCCTGCTTCCTTTGTTCTGTTATACGGACACATGTAATGACCTCGAGCCCACCCAGATAATCCAGGATGATTTCCCCATCTCAAGGTCACGTGATTAACAACCCTAACTCCATCATCAATGTTAATTGGTCTTGGATTGCAACATAACATATTGGTAAATTTGGAGTATTAAGATGTAGATCATCGAGTGGACGTTATTCTGCCCATCACAGTACCCTATTCCCTGTATTAAATCTTATTTTATCTAAAATACTTGGAGTGGTTCCTGTAGTTCTGACTGGAGCCTGACTGACATTCCCATAAGAAAATTCTGGAATTAGGAAGATTGTGACAGTGAATAGCCACTCTGGATAAGAGCTCTCTGACCTGTGACCACAATGACCAGGGGGTCACTGGGTGCTGACCACACAGAGGGGGAGCGCCTGTAAGAACCATGACATTTGTAGGTCCCCGCACGTGCTGGGGTCACAGGGCCCAGGAGGAAGCTGTTGTTGAATATTAGGTCCCGGAGCTCAGGGACGTGGGCTCCATCATCCTTGTCCAGTCTGAATCTGTCAAACCCAAGATGGGAGTGACACCGAAGATTCACATGCTGTCCTTGAGGAACCACAGGGCTTGGCCAGGCAGATAAGGAGGGCTTGTCCTGACCACCTAGGGGAGAAGGAAACACAGCCTTAGAGGAGAAAATGGGGATGCCATCCCCTCCACGTGCTCAGAGGTTCCTCCTTCCCATGGTTCTAAGGCTCCTTTCCAAACCTGGGGGTACTCAGGGCTACATGAAGACTCCTCAGCACCACATAGACATGGCATCTTCCTGCAACAAGTATTGACTGAGAATTTTGAGCAAGTACTGAATGGCAGACTCTTACTAGATGTTGATGATGAAAAAATGGTAATATAAGCAAGACAAAATAGACACTGAATAGGAGAATAATGGCGTGATGTCAGCAACATGGTGGAGTGAGCTGTTCCCTTCATGTCTCCCCCTTTTGAACTACAACTCAATGGACATTCATTGACCAACAGAAGAAGTCTACACAGCACAACAGGATGCCTGAGATACACATGCAGCTATGCATCTGAGGGTGGAGGGACTGACCCTCCGGGAAGTGTTGGAGATGGATGAGCACTCCCTCCCCTCCCCTGGCAGCCCTGCGCACACACAGGATCGCTGTCCAGCCTGGCACGAACACCCTGAAAGTGGGAACGTGCCCCAGGGTGACAGTAGGAAGAGGCAGTGGCAGCCCTTAGCCTGCTGGTGATTGCTTTACTGGCGGTACGGGGGAGCCCACTGTCTCCGAGTGGCCCTGGCTGGGTCGCCATGTGAAGCCCCACCCACCAAGCACAGCAGCGTGCAGGACTGCAGGCAGAGTCTCTGGCAGAACCAAGCGTGCTGGGACAAGCAAACTCCAGGCCCATGTTAGTCCACATAGTGCAGCTGAGCCTTGAAAGGGGGAGTGTGCCCCAGGGCGACTGCAGGAAGAGATGGTGGCTGCCCTTAACCTGCTCGTGATTGCTTTCCCGGTGCAGGGGAGACCACCATGCCCCTGTGGCCCCAAGGAGTGGCCTTGGCTGGGCCCACACGAGAAGCTCCACTCAAAACTCACAGTGGCCTGTGGGTCTGCAAGCAGAGTCTGTGGCAGAACTACTTGCAAGGTGGCAAGCAAACTCCAGGCCTGCGTGGGCACCCATAGTACAGCTGAACATTGAAAGGGAGAGTGTGCCCCAGGGTGACTGCAAGAAGAGATAGTGGCCGCCCTTAACCTGCTGGTGATTGCTTTCCTGTGGGGGGGTCACCGTGCTCTTATGGCCCCAAGGAGTGCCCCTTGTTGGGTCCACACTGAAGCCCCTCCCACCAAGCACAGGCCACACAAGTGCCTGAACACTCTCCAGGGTGGTGCAAGCGCCTGCAGTACCCACACAACATCCAGCCTACAGAGTGGGGCCAGAAACTCTGCTCCTGCTCTCCCTAGTGGTAGGAGGTGGAATCTGCGACCTAAAACTACTGTAAATGCCTGGACAAAAGATTAGTTCATACAATGGAATACTACTCAGCCATAAAAAAGACAAAATCGTCCCATTTGCAACAACATGGATGGGCCTGGAGGATATGATGTTAAGTGAAATAAGCCAGAAAGAGAAAGACAAATACTGTATGATTTCACTCATATGTGGAATATAAACCAACACGTGGCAGAGAAAACTGTATTGTGGTTACCAGGGGCAATGGTAGTAGGGGTGGGTACAAGGGGTGAAGGGAGACATATATATGGTGATGGAGAAACAAAAATGTACAACCCAAAATTTCACAATGTTATAAACTATTAAAACATCAATAAAAAAAAAAAGATTGGTTCATCAAACAGCATGAGAAACAACAGCAACAGTTCAAACCAGAAGGAAAATGAAAATTCTCCAGGAACCAACTCTGAAGGCACAGAAATTTGCCATCTAGATGTCTGAGAATTCAAAATGGCTGTCATAAAGAAACTCAATGAGTTACAAAAGAACACAGAAAAACAGTTCAGTGAGCTCAGGAATAAAATGAACCTCTTCACCCAAGAGATTAAAACTATAAAATAAAAAAACCAAGCAGAAATTCTGGATATGAAAAACATAATCAATGAAATAAGAAATAATCTAGAATCCTTGAAGACTAGAGCTGATGTTATGGAGGAAAGGATTAGCGATTTAGAGGATAAAAATGTAGAAATATTACAAGTGGAGGAGGAGACAGACATAAGATTTTTAAAAAATGAAGGAATTCTTTGAGAAATACCTGGCTCACTTAGGAAAAGCAACATTAGGACTACAGGTATTCCAGAGGGAGAAGAAAGGGAGAAAGGAGCAGACAGCTTGTTCAAAGAAACAATAGCTGAGAACTTCCCAAACCTGTGGAAGAAATTGGATTTACAAATACACAAAGCTAATAGAATGCCTAATTACATCAATGCTAAAAGACCTTCCCCCCATATAATAGTAAAACTGGCAAAAGTCAATGACAAGGAAAAAACAGTAAGGGAAGCTAAACAAAAGAAAATAACATACAAAGGAACCCCTATGAGGCTTTCAGCGGATTTCTCGGCAGAAACTCTATAGGCCAGGAGAGAGTGGAATGATATATTCAAAACACTGAAAGACAAAAACTTTCAACCAAGAATACTCTATCCAGTGAAACTTTCCTTCAGATATGACGGAGAAATAAAAACTTTCCCAGAGGAAAGCTGAGGGAATTCATTGCCACTAGACCTCCCCTACAAGCAGTAACTAAGATGTGCTCACATTGCAAACAAAAATGCAACGGCCTACAAAGCTTTGAGCAAGGAGATAATTAGAGGAAATCAGAAAACTGAAGCTCTCTATCAGAACAGGGAAACAAATACTCAGTTATAACCTAGAGATGAAGGGAAGGAAAGCACCAAAGTAACTATAAATACTTCAACTTAGTCACAAACTCGCTGTATTAAAAGCAAAATAATTTGTGGCAAAACAATTCAGAAGGGGAAGAGGAATGGGATGGAATCTGCTTAGGTTAATGGAGACAAGAGGCTGTGAGAAAATGGACTATTTCATCTGTGAGATCTTTTGTACAAACCACATGGTAACCACTAAACAAAACATCAGAGCAGAGCCAAAATTCACAAAAGGAGAGAAAACTGAGAAAACCTCTTCAGAAAACCACCAAAATGAAATGGCAGTCAGAAATACAAAGGAAGATAAACAACGGAATCATAGATCAACCAGAAAACAAGAGACAAAATGGCAGTATTAAGCCCTCATATATTAATAATAACTCTAAATGTAAATGTTGAATTCTCCAATCAAAAGACACAGAGTAGCTGGATGGATGAAAAAACAAGATCCAACAATATGCTGCCTCCAGGAAACACATTTCTGCTCTAAAGACAAACATAGGCTCAGAGTTAAGGGATGGAAGATGATACTCCAAGCTAATGGCAAACAAAAGAAAGCAGGTGTTGCCATACTTATGTCAGACAAAGCAGACTTCAAGTTAAAAAAGACAGTGAGAGACAAGAGAGGCAGTATATAACGATAAAAGGGACATTCCACCAAGAGGACATAACATATTAATATATGTGCACCTAACACAGGGACACCAAAGTACATAAAGCAATTATTAACAGACCAAAAGGGAGAAATTAACAGCAACACAATAATAGTAGGGCACCTTGATATCCCACTTACATCAATTGACAGATCATCCAGGCAAAAAGTGAACAAGGAAATAGTAGATTTAAAAGAATCACTTGATAAGATGGACTTAGTAGATATATACAGAGCAGTCTATCTAAAAACAGCAGAATACACATTCTTCTCAAGTGCACATGGATCATTCTCAAGGATAGATCATATGTTGGGAAACAATGCAAATCTTCATAAATTTAAGAAGCTTGAAATCATCCCAAGGATCTTTTCTGACCACAGTGCTAAGAAACTAGAAATCAACTGCAAGAAAAAAACTGGGAAAGTCAGAAAAACCTGGAGACTGAAAAACATGCTACTGAATAACCATTGGATCAATGAAGAAATCAAAGGAGCAATTAAAAAATACCTGGAGACAAACAAAAATGAAAATACAACATACCAAATCCTACGAGATACAGCAAAAGAGATCATGAGAGGGAAATTCATAGCAATATAGGCCCACCTCAACAAACAAGAAAAATCTCAAATAAGTTACCTTAAACTGCACCCAACAGAACTAGAAAAAGAAGAACAAACAAAGCCCCAAGTCAGCAGAAGGAGGGAAATAATAAAAACCAGAGCAGAAATAAATGAAACAGAAACTAAAAAGACAGTAGAAAAGATTAATGAAACTAAGAGTTGGTTCTTTGAGAAGATAAACAAATTGACAAACTCTTAGCCAGGCTCACCAAGAAAGAAAGAGAGAAGGCTAAAATAAAATTAAAAATAAAATTAGAAATGAAAGAGGAGAGATTACAACAGGTTCTGCATAAATACACAGGATTATAAGAGAATACTATGAAAAATTATGCACCAACAAATTGGATAACTTAGAAGAAACGGATAAATTATTAGACTCATACAACCTACCAAAACGGAATCAAGAAGACATAGAGAATCTGAAGAGACCAATCACAAGTAAAGAGATTGAAACAGGAATCAAAAACTCCCCCCCCCAAAAAAAAAGGCAAGAAAAAGAAATAAAGAAATAAAAGGAATCCAAATTGGAAAGGAAGAAGTGAAACTCTCGCCATTTGCAGATGACATGCTCCTCTATATAGAAAACCCTAAAGAATCCATCAGAAAACTATTAGAAATAATCAACAACTACAGCAAAGTTGCAGGGTACAAAATCAACTTACAAAAATCAGTTGCATTTCTATCCACTAACAATCAACTAGCAGAAAGAGAAA